GTGAATTGGTTTGAGCGGACTTTAAAATCTACTCAAATTAATGATTGAGATGTTACCTATATATAAATTAGATATTACGGTCATCAATTAACCGTTTAAGCATAATGATTCTGTTAAGTCCTCTCAACGTTGAGATACCTTCGTTGAAGAGTGGAGTTTAACTGGTAGATTACGATGACGTTGCTACAATGACGATGACGAAGAAGGCTTGCTTGCTCATCCACGGCATAAAATAAAACCAAATTGATTACGAAAGACTGAGGCAAAGTCCCGTGACATAGACAATGCACGCAAAATATTGGAAATTTAAAATAAGTTAAATGGAACGATAATTAACGGTAAAATCTGTAAAGATTTTATAGAAGAAGTAGTTTAATAGGATGCTAGTATTTACGTGAATATAAGAAATAAATACTTTTCATAATTCAAATAAATTTAAGCATAAAAGCCACGTAAGTTAGCAGTTAAGTTGTCTTTGATTATATGAAAAACATCAGGCAATAAAGAAATGTATAAATGTTAACCAATCGAAAACAATGTAGAGATTCAATTAGTTGAGTTATTTTTATTACAACTTCCTTCTTAACAATCTGTCTTAATGTGAAACGCGATAAGTAATGTGTGTACCTATACAAGTTCAGAGGTGAAGATTAAATAAGGAAAAGCATGTTATTAAATCATAATTTTCTATTTATTGTTAGTTCCAATACTAATCATGTGTACTTAGGTATTAATATATTATATATCTACATCTGAAAGGAAAATTAAGAATCGTCTACTTCTTAATAGATGGCGTTATACACGTTCACAACGAAGTCAACAATTCAATTCATGCCTGTAAGTGCCATAAATACGGATCCGTCAGTTAATAAGAACAACGTTTCAATGAGAGACAATTTGGTTACGATGTTACGTAAGCATTTACAATGTTCTGTACTACGAACTGGCTCATTATCATAAATAGTGCGATGTACCTATAGTCTGTTAGGTGGAGCGGATGAATACACCTACACAGGCAACGGGCTATCGGTAAAGTAATCTGCGCGCACGGGCAGAGTGCGTCCGTTCACCGCTGATAAAAAAACCTACACGCACGCACACAAACACCCCGCGCTTCCTATTGCGCTGTTACAATAAATAACAATTATCGCACGCACACAGGCGCACGGTTGCACAGATAAGAGGTCGGGCGTAGTTCGCACACACGCGCATTGAGTGGTGATTGGTTACACCTGTAGTGAAAGAGACCGCAGGGGCCGTACATTAGAAGAAAGAACTCCGCTTCGAGCGTGGTCAATGCTTACGAGAGAAAGTACAAAAAGTATTTACTCAGCTTATTTACTTTTTTATTGATTTCTCTGCACGGTGCATTAAATATTTAAAAAAAAACATCTATTTAGTACAATAGCCTACTTAAGATTCTAAACCGTTGTATATTTTACACCCTATACGGCATTTGTTTAAAAATATACAGCCCCCTTTTCAAACACAGTTCTACGCATTAAAATTGAAATCATTATCACAAGGCGACTGTGCCAGGAGTACCTACTAGTATTTTCGTTATTGTCTTTGACGCCTTTACTTAGGTAGGTACCTACTTGAATTAGGTGAATATTGGCTGGCTGAAGTTTATGCAACCTAATGATTTCTTATATTTACGCGAATACTATAAAATGAATAAAACAATTTTTACGGACTTTATAGAGTTTAATTTTAATAATTTTTAATTCCTGACATTTCGGGTGCTTTGCAATAGCCATGGTCACAGGGGGACTGAGATGGTTGACGTACCGATGTCAGAGTTAACCCGGAGTAGGTACTTTCAGCTTTTTAATTATTAATTTTGGTCCGATCTACGCAGAATGAGCTTATAGTATCTTGAAGTCTTGCAATTGTATGCTTGGGTTGGGAATGATTTGAATATGTACCTAGTGTTCGAATAAACATAAGAAATTATTAGGTCGCACTTGGAAGTATATAGGTAAATTCTGGCTGGCTGAAGCGTATGAGACTTTTTACTTTATAAACAATATTAAAAATAAAACGCTAGGTAATGTCATTGCTTTATACGGAAGAGCTTGATAATTTGTGTAGTCGATATCCTCTGAAGAGTTGTGCGTTTAATCGTTGCTTATCACCGCAATGTGATGCGTTCTATAATATCATAGCCACTTTCATTAGATCTTGTTTTAAAAAATATTTCGCACGTCCGCAATTTCAAAATATATGTATTGGTGTACAAATTGGAGGTCACTGAGAAGAGATATTGCATGTTTACACAGTTGTAACTGTAAGTGTTTACAGTTATGCGCCATTTCGTTTTAATTTTCGACGTGTTTTAGAATTTTTATGAACTCCCACTTCGAGTGCAGTAGTTTTTTTTGTATTAGTATAGAATTGTACTCAGCAGCTCATGAGGCACTCGCTACATTTTTGTCATGTTTAATGAGCGCTATTACAATAAAGATTTTAGAGGAATAAACGGCTTATCTACTAGTTCATAATAAAAAAGTTGAAATTTCCTAGATTCAAATAATATATATAATTTAAAACAACCAGTTCTGAATAAACCAATATAACTAGATGTGTCCAGCAGTGGATATCTAGTTATAGTTAAAATAACTTAAACTAGATATCCAGACAAATAGAAGGGAGCCCATTATCTACAAGTCAAGTGCTGAATATAATATGAACGATGTTTAACGGTGAACTGATTCTCCATAGATTACCATCTAAGAGTCCTGGGCACCTTGCATATAAATTGTATCATTGAAATAAACTGTAGTTTTAGGTTATTAATAAAAAACCTTGATACAACAAACGTAAAACTTGCATATCTATCTTACATAAATAAATAATATCAAATTAAGGAAATAAGACTTATCAAGCGATCTGCTCGTAGTACCTAGATGCTAGCATTATCTGTAAGTAACGAAAGGTGCTGTGAAGCTGATTACTGCACCAGATAGCGAATTTGTGATATAAAACTCACAGCTCTCATGGCAAAGGAAGAAAAAGAAGAGGCATCTAAACATTATAAAATGTTCAGTTTGCCTGCCAACTTTTTGTCTAACCCTAATATCGACTAGTAATAAAACAAATTTTAAGTGTATCTTATTTATAATAAAGAACAAATAAATAATATGCGGATGTTTATAATATTCAAATTTGTCACTGTAAGTACGTTTTATTAGTAATTTTTTAAACATCAAAATGTACGAGTATGAGGGAGATGAAATACGATTATGAAATGAACCATTAACATGAATCAAATTTTTATTACAGAAACCTTTAATGTAATCATACGACTCAAATGTGCGATGTAATTTCTAAACTGTAATATAATTTTGTAGTTGGTGGACTGATTTACATTTATGTAAAAAAGAAAAAGTTCGATCGTTATAATTTGAAGTGTTTGTAGTAGAAGCAATTCTAATTTCACTTTTATTAATGGTCCAAATTTTTAACGTCCTAGATCACAGACAGCAAATAGAAGTAAACTTTTAACAAATGCGCTCAAATAATTGCTATCAATAGACTTTAGTAGCTGATTCAGAAAGTTGCGAGGTGAAATAAGAAAATAGAAAAATCTAACTGATTCACCCTCCTGTGACTCATGAGATCGTTAAGGTAAATGGCGCTGTTCAAATACTGATTAACAAATTGTCAGATGTTTGTTTGTCCAAGTTAATGAATCCGTTTATTTTGTTCACAACAAACAAGTAATTAGAGGTGCCACAGGATACTTATCAGTAGCGAGAAATAATTACTTAGAAAACAACTTTGATAAAACGATTTTTCAATTCAACAAACTGTTTTAATGTATGCCTAAATCTGTATAGTTTACGTATTTGTAATTTCTAATGTGACTATAACATTTGTAATCCACGTTTAACACATGAATTAATTTATAAAATAAAAACAAACGTGAAATTTTATAAAATTATTAGACTGTCAAATATTTTAAATTTATAATTATTAAATTGTTCCAATTAAAATATTTAGTACTTAGCTTTTAGTCATAAGTGTGTATGATAAATTTATTGTCAATTAAATGCAATGTCCACTAATTTGTAATTTCACCGGCTATGTTGGTAAAAACTTCGCGAAATCTAAATAAAATCAGTTATTAGAAGATAATCTGAACAACACAGCATCTCTTAGTAGTTGACTAAATAACTGAATATTTTCTACTTCTAAACATAATAATATGTGACATTATTACTTATTTAAGTGCATAAAATATTTTTACGCATTGTATACAAATCAATCTCATAATGCTGATGTTTAGGAAATCTCGCATTTGTTACGACGATTCGTTGATTAAAAATATTCGTATTTAATTTTTTGTAACTTTTTTTTCAATTCGAAAAGTATTTGAAACGAACTTCCACTAATATATTCCTCGCGTCCGTTTCAGCCGCCTAAAACATTGCTCGCAGTCGACCATCCGAAATAATCAAACATCCCTATTATTTCACCCACTCCAGACAGGCGGCGCTCAAAGAAGGATAAAATGAAAAGCGAGAGAGAAAAAAAAAGAAAGCAAATGAATTAAAACAACATAATCATTTACGATTTAAGACGGCGAAAGAGCGGGGCTCCCCTCGACAAACGCAACTTTCTTTCAAGTCCGTGTGTACCTGTTCCCGATTCTCAAGTGGATGAATTATATCCCGGGGGAGCCGAGGGGAAGTTAGAACACTGAGGTTATTTCTAATGAAGACGTGCTCGAGTTTTATTTTTAATACAGCTGAGGTGATATAAATTTCACCTGTTATAATTCAACTGTTCACAATTTTTAAACGAGCAGTAAACTTTTATCTCAAATTAAATTTCTTTATGTTTATATAAAACTTTTTCTTTATTTATGAATCCACTTTAATGAAAATAAACTCTAAACAGAATAGTTAAAAGGAAGGTGTAGGGAAAGTTTTGAAAGGAAATAAATGAAAATAAATTGAAAATTGCAAATAAAAACGAAAGGAAAAGAAGCTTACTTAAGGCCGCGAGCCGCCTGGCCGAGGTGGTGGAGGTCGGGACCTGCTTACTCCTCATGTCCGCAAGCCAACCGGCCGCCAAGCATTCGTACCAACCGCCAACTCCCATAAGCGAGCTCTGCACTTTCATCTAGCACCTCGTCACGTCACTACCGAGAGATACGGCGCACTCGCGATATGCCAGCCCGAGCTGACGTCACAGTCCCAGTACGCGGCGTTACTCACATCGGCAGGCGCCCCATACGTTGGCCAGGCTCCACAGGCGGTAAGAGTAGCTGTCACCATAGCACCCGAACATCTCATCGGTTCTCGCGACCATGGCCCGCGCGCGCGGACGACGTGTTGTTTGCAGCGCGGCGCGCGGCGGAATGAAGCCGGCCCGCCTCTCGCCCCGCCCTGCATGCTCCCCCCCTCGCGCCGCACCCCCACCTCTACTTAATTAGTGGCGAACGCCGCCAGCCGCCGACTGCCGACCGCTCGGCCGCCGCTCACCATCGCCGGATCACCGTCACCTCCGCGGCGAGTCCGTCTTCTTGGACGTTAACGTATTCACGCACCTCGCCTTTGTTTATTTACACTCTACGCTCCACCTTCTCGCCCATCTACCTGTCTCTATCTAGCGTCTTGTCGCGCTGTAATGAAACTCGCGACAAATACTTATTTATGATGATATTATAATGAGAAGTAATACTTACTATTTTTATTAAATTTGCTGGCAACAATGATGTAATTTAACTCTTGTAGAGTAGGGTCTTTGTTTACGGTACAAGAATTTAACCATTACATGCTGGGATAATATTGTTTGTAATTTAGGTATATCTAATTCAAGTATTTATATTAAGTATTTTTTTAAATTTAAAGAAACGTAACTTTACGGTGAAAGCAATAACATTTATTTCAAATTACAGCTTACGGTTAAAGCGCTTTAGTTTTGCTTTCTGTCACGAGATGGCGCTAAGCGTTCTTACAAATGCGAAAGCTCATCCGCTGAACGTAAAAAAGGGAATATTTTGGGTTCAAAAAAATATAATTTTGACATATCAGACCAAGACCATAGAAGAACTTTAGCAAAATTAAGGATTATCATTACTTACTAATATTATTAAATTAATGCAAAATTACATTACCACAAAATGATCAATTTGAAGTTTACCTTTACCTACTCGTAGTTAATTAAAGGACTGCGGTCATCATTGTCCAGCGTTTGCTCGTGACTAACTTTATGTCTTGCGGTGTATTGCGTGGATTTTATAAAAATAACAATAAATAATGGTTTACGTTATTATTAAAGTATGTAGTAAGTGTAATGTTTCTTTACATAATCTATAACGTTAATAAAGAACCGTGAAAGCTAAGAGGATACGCGATAGACTTAAATTTCACAGTACGCAAGAAACCCGGGTTCGATTCCCGCCGACACTATAGAATTTACTTCGCTAGATTTGCTTCGTTCTCGGCGGTGAAGTAAAACATCGCGAAAAAAAACCTGCAGAAATAAAAAAAAAAACGAAAACGTGAAGTACGCCAACTTGGGGTATCGCGGCGGACATTTCCTTGCACGTAAACCCTCTCAGTAATTAGAGGAGGCCTGTGCCCAGATGTAAACAAGTTGTAATTTTATTTTTACAAAAGTGATATATTACATTAATATTATAGTGACCCAATCTAGATGTAATATTATCTTATAATGATTGTAAATATGCCTAAAAAATTATATCTATAATTGAATACACGCGGAATACTTCATCCCTAAAATACATTATGATGTGGAGCCGTGAGAGTCCGTACAAACACAGAGGCAAGATCTTATTGTCACTACACAATGTGCAATAAAATACCAATACATTATTTCAATAATAATAATAATAATAATTTATTAGACACTCAGTTTGACAAATTACATTTAAGTTAAAGTGAAAACTTCTTTAGGCACGTGACCGCCACGTTGAGCTATATAAAACTGATGAAAGTAATTTTGAAATGAAAATACAATTTATAACATTTTATAGAATTGTTATGTAGGTTATATTTATAAATCTGTTTGTATTATATGGAAAATAATCATTCTTTTTCATGTAAAACAGCGCAATAAATTAAAATTTTATTAGGTACTATATAAATACGTTGTGTTGGTGAAATTGGGTGACATAAAAGTAAATTGTCTGCTGTATGCTGATGATGCAGTGCTTATTGCACCATCAGAGGCAGAACTGCAGGCATTAGTCACGTGTATGAAAGAGGAATGTGAAATTAAAGGTCTCCGTTTGAATGCTAATAAAACTAAGGTTCTGGTATTTGAAAGGGACGAAGAGAGAACGAAGTGTGAAATATGGGTAAATCAGGAATGTCTAGAACAGGTAAATGAAATTGTATACTTGGGGAGTGCTTTTAGCCGGGATGGAAGATGTGATTTAGATGTGGACAGGCGTGTCGCTGCCGGGAACAAAGTCAATGGTGCCCTGACTGCGTTAGTCAAAAGGCAAGGCGTAGCGAAGAGTGCACGCCTTGCAATACATAACGCAGTGTTGGTACCGACTTTGTTATATGGCAGCGAAACCTGGGTATGCCAGAAGAAGCATAAAAGTAAGTTGAATGCAGTGGAGATGCGATCTCTTCGTAAAATGTGCGGCGTTACCATGGCCGACCGAAAGCGAAACGAAGAGATTCGCAATATGGCAGGTTTGAAAGATGACCTTATCACAAAAATTGATAAGGGCGTGCTTCGGTGGTTTGGGCACGTTGAGCGAATGAGTGAAGACCGAATGGTGAAGAAAATATATAGCGCGAAAGTTAATATTAAAAGGTGTCGAGGTAGACCGAGACTAACTTTCGAAGACCATGTGAGCAAATTGCTCGAAGAGGGTAGGGTCAAGAGTACTCGGATACCTAGACGTGCATGCATGAAGAAGATAATGAATCTGAAAGAAGCGAAAGAGGTTTGTAAGGATCGTGACACTTGGCGATCTGTTCTCTCTGGCTACCCCGTCAGGGATTGTGCGTGAAGATAAGTAAGTAAGTAAGTATAAATACGTTAATAAAATTAATTTCTAATAAGAAATATTTCCTAAAAAATATTTCTTAATAACCCAAAACCCACTAGATGGAGTGACGACCTGGTGAGACATGCAGTCAATGGATGCAGGTGGCTCGGGATAGCGCTTTGTGGCATTCTTTTGGGGAGGCCTATGTTCAGCAGTGGACTTGTGAAGGGCTGCAATGATGATGATGACGATGAACCCAAAAATAATGTTTACAAGTTTGTGAAGCTAAGAAGAATTTAATTCTGACGTACAGTCCTACGAATGACTGATTTTTTATGGATAAATGGTGACAAACGAACACACAGTCCACCTGATGGTAAGTGAATGCTGTAGCCCATAGACACTTATATCTATCTTCAATTAAGAATCAAAATGCAGATGCGTTATCTCCCTTGAGGAATAATATGACAAACCTTATTTCCACTAATAAGGGTCTCCGGTTCTATTTCTATACACTCGCCATACGAAACACAGCGGCATTAAGCTGCTATTTTCAACCGACTTCAAAAAAAGAAAGAGGTTCTCAATTCGACTGTATTTTTATGTGAGTAGCTTTAGAACCTTTTTCTTCTAGGTGAACCGATTTTGATGATACTTTTTTGTTTGAAAGCTGGTGCTTCTCATGTGGTCCTACATAAATTGCATCAAGATCTGACCATTAGTTTTTGAGTTATACTTAATAATGCGTATTTAATTGACTTTGACTAGATAGATGATGTTCTCATTTTATTGAGTGGCGAAGCTTGCGAAGTCACTTATTGATTTCACGATGTCTGTCCGTCTGTCCGTCTGTCCGTCTGTCCGTCTGTCCGTCTGTCCGTCTGTCCCACGATTGTCTTGAGAACGGTTTTGAATTTTCAAATTCTGTTTTCAGCAATCTATTACTGATCACCCAGGCATCTGAACATCCTATTTCGAAACTGATTGCTCAACGGCAACCGTTAGAAACCGCTACAAAGGTGATTGCTTCGCCACTTTGCTATGTTGTTAGCTTGCTAGGTTTATTTATATTGAATTCGGTTGTACAAAATTTTGAACTTTACCACTTGTACGCTGGTATTCGTGAGCGCGTTCTTCCCCGGTCGAGCCGGCGCATTCGTGCTACAACCACAATATAGCTGCAACATGGCTCTACCACGTAAGTTTCTAAAAACAGTGTTAAAAACATAGGGTAATACACGTGGTTGTCAAACGTAGCCTGTGTCATTTATCTTCACGAAGGTTGTACAAAGCCAATTTACATGCGGTAGACAACCGTCATAAATAACTATTTATATAAATTGTAACCTCGTAAAATATACTCTATGCAGTAATAATAAGATTGGAATTATCTTGTGAATAATATGCGACAGCAAGCTATTTGTTATGTAACGTCTTTTGTGAGACAAAAGCACCTTGTACGTAGCACACGTGGGGTACACGTGCGCCGCTGAAAGCCACACCTAAGCATTGTCGCGTTAAGAACAGTAAAGCTTTTGTTTTTTTTATTGTTTTACTACAAGCTGTTTGCTTACGTGATTTATTGTTATTGTTTAGAATTGATAGGTTAGTTTAGAAACAATTGCAACGTTGTGTTTTTTGAAATTCGGTATCGATGATCACATTTTTTTTAGTTTATCATATTTAATTTTAGGTTCCATAATCAGCTAATATGATTCGAAACTTCAGTTTTTACAGTGTGCTTTTGTATGTGGTAGAGCTATGCTACAGCTATGTTATGGTTGTAGCACAAATATCAATCACGCTTTTACAGAATAGAATAGAAAGAGCAGCTTAATGCTGCTGTGTTTCCTGTGATGATGTGGAGGAATGGAGAACCGTTTTACTGGCAACGGCATTCTATTTTAGTCTTCAAGGGTGAGAGCGAATTATGCGTAAGAGCAACGGCTATACGTGCTCTCTTATGCTCGGGGTATAAGCAAGCCCACAAGGCTCCTTCAATTACCCTGGTGTTGAAGTTGTCCATGTAAGTTAAAATAAGATTTTTTTTATAGAATAGGGTGACAAACGAGCACACAGTACACCTGATGGTAAGTGGATACCGTGGCCCATAGACATCTACGCTTATCCTCAATTAAGAATCAAAATG